TCACCCTATTTACTTTCTATTTCTATACAGTAGTTCAAGAAGTGATACATATATATTATACACTGAAGTGTTTTCTATTCCAGAACTGCTGTCAGCGACGCTATTTTCTATTTCAGTGCAGCGGAATTCAGTGCAAGAGTTCACTGAATTCTGAACTGGCTGCACTAGGTCTGGAGTTAGTGCAAGCAGTGCAAGGACGATTGGAACGGCACTTTTGAATAAGAGTGCTCGAAATATCATAAACGTGCGAAGTAACACACCTAAATGACCAAAGTTACATTTTATCGTTTCTACTTGAAAGTTTACCTTTTACACGTTTATCGTACAGCTATCAAAACGAAATTTAAATAGCAAGCGTGAAAGTAGGAGCTTTCTTAGACAAGCTTTCCTAGACACGGAAAAGACTTGGCAAAATTTACGTTTTAACATAAAGCATTTAGCATTCAGATACATAAGTTAGAACTGCAGGTGCAGTCGCTGTTGAAAATAATAATTGTTCGATTCCACAGTCGCAACGTAACGCGTTGTGTTATTCTGACACTAGATCTTTATTTCTAGACTTACGCTTATACTCGTCAGTTTTAATTTACACTAATTCACTTTTAGTGAGTGCAGTCCCAGTCCAGGAATAGAAAACAAACCTAATGTTAGATCATGCCCCAAGGCTGAGTAGCGCGACGTATGGTCATATGTTCTACGATGTCATTACCTACGACATTACATGACGCGCTGTTCAAGTCGGGCCAGATGTTTTCAACCGCGGTGTGTCGATCGCTCCTGCGTCGACGCGAGGTATTTCACCTTCAGCGCGAATAGTCTCGAACTCGCAAATTGCGCGACATCGATTGTCCTTGTTTTACCGTCTTAATACCGCGTGTAACGAGAGCTACGTAAATTAGCGGTACTTACTATGTCTCCGTTAATAAATGGACACGTTAGACAGATTCATACTCGGGAATTGTTATTGCGCGTTGTATCGCCGTTTATCACGAACTACTACTTAACATTCCCTTCGGCGATTAATTCTCGGTTAGCGGTGGAAATTAATCTCCAGCTGCCGCAAAAACACTCGCGCCTCGCGATAACGTTCGATATACCGGCAGTTCGCGTCGCTCTTCGAGCACGCGCGCTCTCTCGAGAGCTGATTCGCGCGCAAACAGTTCGACGTTGCCGTTAATCGTGCGAGATTGCAGTGTATTTTACGGTTCGCTAATGGCGCTACTCAAGCACGCGATTATTAATCGTCCTGTCGCGTATCGACATCGTCGGGAAAATATCGCGGCGTAGTCGCGCGCGTTTTGCACCGAAAATATATAATATCGGCTGGAGCGCGCGGGATTGTATGCGTCATCGCGGGCACAGGCGATAACAGAATGTTTTCACGGTATTTTTGCGCCACGTGCTAGCGAATTTGGGGGCCCGTTGTGTGTGCAAACGCGCGTCAAGGTTAGATAATAATTCTCTTGCATCAGCGCGCAGATACCATTCCCCAGATAGCACGGGCGACGGGAGGTGCGCTCCGACACACTACGAAAACCGGTTATTGCTCACTAAATCGGACTGCGGGCCACTATTCTTTTTTTTTTTCTCCCCTCCGTTACGTTCAACTTAATGGCTTTCACGTGTACCGCCGTGTTGTTATTTTTGTTCTCGATTTTAAGCGTATTTTTTTTCTCGCGAGTATCTCTCCAGCAGATCGGCGGCGATGGAGAAGGAATGCCGCGCCGAAAATGAAAGTCGGAAGGCTGCGCGATTCCTTACATACTTGTTAGAGATTATTACCGCTCTCAATGTACACAGTTAAAAATTTCGTTACAACCGGTCCGTCCAAATTTTTTGTGTTATTTTAAAAAAAGCGAATATAACAAAAAGTAATATATTGACAAGATTATTGCACTAATGTAATATATATTTCTATACTTTTTTTTTCCATGTTAAAATAATACATTTTTTACATATTTTCCATGTTAAAATAATACAGAAATTTCGGTGGACCGTTTTTAGCCAAAAATTTTTTACTCTGTATGTGCGATATTTGCTCAGAATATATTCCACGTGGAAAACGTTCCAATTTAAATTTAATTCAGATGTGTTCTATTGCAATTGCCGCAGAGAAATGATTAAAACGGTTATTAATATGTCTGCAAATTTCGAGCGACCAATTAAACGATCGTTACATTTTGTCTTTGAAGTTTTTATATTGAAAAAAAAAAATCGATGTTTTTTCGGCTGGAGGCACTGGTATTTTTTTTTTTTCGACATTTTTGGCGGGTAGACGCATCGAATAGAGAAAACGGCAGCATGTCGGTGACGCAATGTGTACGTTGATAACTTCCTCGTGCGGCTCGTGCGAGTGCTCACGTGTATTTTCAACGTGTCGCGGCTTGCCAAGTGGCGACGTCGCGCATTAAAAGAGCGGCGCCACAGCACATTCTTCGCGTTTATCGACTCGCGTCTACGTTGTTGACTAATCGCGGTAATGCGCTGTAAACAGCGCTATTTACTCCGTGTGAACGTCTCTAGCGCGCCGCGCTGTGTGCTGCGCTATAAACGTGTGTTTTTCATAACAGCGTGTTACATAACGATATTAGTCACCATATGTCTAATGCAACCCGCTAAGCTCGGCGGGCTCTATCATTGGAACTAATAGGAGACTTCACTTTCGTGATTGTGCGCTCTTTTTTCGTAATAACGGATTTAGATGCACGAAATGCGATAGCCAAATATAGCACAAATAACAGTGAAACGGACAATTGAAAACGGTAGACGCTCGTTGTGTTGATGCAGGTTTGATAAGAATAGTCTTTATTAAACTTTAACGCGCTGCTCGCTGTTTTGTTGTGACTGCTAGAACTGCGACGTAGCGCAGTTGGCGCCAGCGAAGTTATATTTCACATGCAAGACACGGACTTTGTATTTTTAGTATTAATAGCACGACTACGAGGTTGCAATCATATTTAAAGCAATTTGGTCCTTATGACATAAGAATTATTCTCTACCATAATTCAATTTTGTTTTTTAACGGGTACACATATTCTCATAAGACACACATACAGTCGTGTACAAACGTAGATTCTTTTTTCACAGCTCACCCTTATGCGGATATATTTTTATTTGAATAAATATATACAGATTATGTCACAAAATAGTGATATCATTTAATTAAAATTAAATCTTGAAGCAGAAGATACGGATATATATATAGAGTTCAGATTCAGAAATGACTGATGACTTGGGACAAATGAGATTATCGCTCAAAAGTCAGTATCCCGAGTCATTTGTTCCATTAAACGTATTTTGCTAAAACTTCAAATTTGATTGAAAAAAATGTGCGATGTATTCGGAAACATTGCAAATTGGCACAGTAGATGTGATTCTCCGATAGCGTAATCACGATACGAATTGGCACAGTAGATGTGATTCTCCGATAGCGTAATCACGATACGAAGCGACGTTACGTTGCATTGTGCTAACGAATGTTTCCCCTGAAAAACTATCGACTGTGAGTCGCGATGCGCAATATTTTCGCGACCCTCGACTGACATTGCCAAATATAACCAATACAGGCGGCAGTAGAGAACGGTTTCGCTAGAGTGGAGGCCAAGGTTGCGGCTTATCCCCACCATTCTCTACAATGTTGTCGCCTATCGCTCGCTTACTCGCCTGCCTGCTCGCTCGCTCGCTCGTTCGTCTTCTTGGTGACGCAACTATGTTGCACGGTCGATCCGACCTTTACGTTCGTCGTGATTCTCATTTGCTGCTCGCATATTCCGAAGAAGGCGGAAGTCATCTTAGTGGCGTCCGCTGTCATTCTATTTCATCAGTTTTATCTTTCTCCGTACATTTCGATAGTATGTCTTCTATATTGTCGCGTCAATAAGTGCCATTGATTCGTAGTGTATGCATTATTCATTACGTCGAACGTTGCGTAGTAAAGAAGCGATAAAGAAGCCGGTGAGTTTATTTATAGCAAACGAGTATAAAGAGCGATTATAAAAAGCAGCTGTTGATTTATTTCCCGTCAACAGACGTTAATTTTGATCTTTTGAACAGTAATTTTATATCCGTGGTAAAACACAGAACAGATGGAAATTATTTTTGTCTTACAATTACTATGAAGAGAATGGGAAAACAGGCAGGAGTTACGAGAGAAGACAGATATGAGTCTCGCGTTTATTTCGATTTATTGCAAGATTCGATTGTACAATTTATGAATCTTTGCGAATGACCGAACTTTTCGGGCAAAATCAATATTTTATTTATAATCGAAGTGTGATATGTTCTCACCGAACAAACAGCATTTCTAGTCGGGGAACTTTGTTTGTAGCTTTTTCTACGACGATTGATATGGGTCCGGGTAAAAGACATCGTACACACTCGTGGATACACGCTTAAAGATATTTCGTGTTCGTTTTTTATCATCGCACATGCATAAAGGAAGTATGAGCTTCACCGTACGACGAGGGTTGTGTCAGGTCGACCGACGTCCTTGGAAGGGGAAGTTGTCAAACGCGAGGCCGAGGGTTCGGAGTTATTATGAATCGCGAAAAATTTACTGGAACTCGCACATTCCTGCTGGAAGCCCTTTAAAGGATTCGTTTACGATCCTGATGACCCATATCTTTCGATATGAATATTCGTACTCGCAGAAAGTAATTTTCACTTAAAAAATTAGGTGTAGATATTTGAATGTAAATAATATATACTGCTCGCAATAATTAATGTATCATAAATTTGTAGTTTTGTTGAATAATATTCTTCGGCTTGAACGGAATATGAGAATAAATTACCGAAATATTGCATTTATAATTATTTCATTCAAACTTCTCACCTCAAGATTGATACTCTACGAAAAATACTTTAATATTTTAAGTATCTACTAAATCAATAAATGGTGAAAGTGATTTTCTAGTTGTTTAAAACAATATGTAACGTGTTTTTTTATGTTTTTACAGTGAAAAATATTTTTTTGACGACTCAATTTTCGTGTGTTATTGCAGACAAAGTTGCGGCGCCAATGGCATCTTTTCGCGTCGTTTGGACTTCAGCGCTTTCAACAGCCTGCCCCGTACTAAGCTGAATTCCTATCACATCAAGGTTAGTAATTAATTACTACTCTTTGACGCGACGGAAGGTTTCGCCTGTGACGGTGTAGGTGCACGACGTGCTACCTCGTCAGCGAAATGGACCGACCGGTCGCGACATGATGAATCGTTGACGATTACGACATTCGAGACATGTCACGCAGTCTTGAAGCGAAACGCTGCGCTGAAAAAGCAAAAACTTCTTAGCGCAGAAATTGCCTGGTAATCGCCAATAGATAAAAGTAGTGAGAGAAAGAAGAGAACTACTTTTTTTCTCATGATGATGCGACGGGTTATAAATAATTCAGCACTTTCGATTAAACGCTTATCTATTCGTATAAAGTGCAGGAAGTAGCTCAATATATACGGGATTAAGCCGATATCGGCGACCAGCTTTAATCGCGATCGTCGCAGAAGCTCGTTAAATTAATCTCAGCCGAGGAGGCCGTCCTTTTCGCGCGCGTAAATCAGGCATAAGCTACGCCCTCCGCGAATCCTTTCGCATCCCGTCGTGTAACACTGTCGTCCTACCCCAAATACGAGGGGAAATCAATACCAAGCCGAGTTAGCGTGCATGTCCCTCTTTGCGCACGCACGCACTTACGCACGCACGCAAGTTCGTTTATGCGCGCGCCGATATCAAAGAATACTTTTGTTTGCTCGCGACTTGTTTCTTCTCTATCTATGCTATCCTCATTTAAAGTTTATCTGTACTATTATAATATATATTAAAACGTATATGTACTAACCTTAATTAGCATTGATTACTGGTCAACAGATTTTTTTCTTTGTCAATGTATACTGCTGGTAGCATTATAATCTGTGAAAAGGGCGGAGTACCGCTAATCCGGGATTAGTTAGCCCGTATTATCGAATACACTCTGTTACATCAACGCGTCGATTAGTGCTAATCCCAGTTAACTCTAACTTCTCTTTATCCGTCCATATATTACAAAGTCATGCCGTAATCTTAAACGAAACAACGAATCGTTATTCCGAAATTAATCTGGTGCAACTTGGAAACACCGTGACTGTAGCTGCCATTGCGAGTTTGCTCGCGAATTTTGCGTAGGAATTAACTATGAATATTTTTTTGAATATATCAAGAATATACGACGAGTATATAATAATAACATACGATAAATAGTAACATAATAGTAACATAGTAGTTTTCCTAGTTTGGGAAAGATTATTAGGTTTCAAAAGTGATGTATGTAAATATTGACATTCAATGATTGATTATTGATTCTTTTATTAATTATTCAGGAAATATAGGACGAAGTTGATAACATTTCTTCTCATATATCGAACTTAATTCGTCATAGCATAGTGAAATATCTGGCTCCCGATCGGCAATTGTTAGTAGTATAGCCTCCAACATATATGTAGTCAAAATAAAACATCAACTTCAATGTGTTTGAACTTACCTATTTTAATTAAAATGTATATTACGTTTTAATTAATATCGAGATAATTTAAACGCAGATGTCTGGGCAATTAATATCGAGATAATTTAAACGCAGATGTCTGAGCAAAGTCATTATGTCACAATTTACTTGTCATATGCATTTGTGATATATAAACGTGTTTGACTTCATTAATTCAGCAGATATATAAATAAAAAAAACTTGAATCCCGCACAAAGCTATGTAAAGTAAAGTAAAGTAAAGATAGCAGTTTTTATCCGTACGCATATATTCATGGGTATAACTTGTAATCTCGATACGTCAACGCGAAGGACAATGCGCTTTTAACATTTCGCGTCGATAAATTACTACGTCTGCCTTGAATATATTGTTGAATCTATTATAAACTACGCAGAAAGTAGCCTCTTTGAAGGGGCTCTATAAACGATGCACGCTCTCCCCTCGGTTCCGTAATACCTAACAAACTTTGACCTATGACTTGGCCTCGACCTCCAAATTGCCTGCCATTTCGGCGCTTGTTTGCGGGAACGGAGAAAGAAAGGATGACTGGTAAAGCAGCCGGGCTCTCCCCTCTGAACTAGGGTACGTGCTCGCAGGGTTCCAAACGACTTGTCCCGATAGAGTCACCTCGGTGTATTTTCGCTAGAACCTGCCAGCGCGCAATCCTCGTCAAAGAAGTTAACGACGCGGCTAATTAGCACCTCGAAACTTTGAGCCGATGCATCGTAGGCGCGAATTTTGCGGTGTCTCTTTCTCTCTCTCTCTCTCTCTCTCTCTCTTCCCTCCCCTTTTCCAGCTGTACCTACTCGTTACGGTATCATTCATTACCATCGCCGTTATCGATGTACAACGGGAAGAAGAGCGATAACTCTTCCCGCGATTTAACGCTCGACCGTTCGCCGCGTTCGCGAAACCCATCCTGGCGGCTTTATCGTAGCTATATATTGTAGCTATATTATTGTTTTTATAGCGCACGCCCTGATAATTTTTTTTTGCCGGGCTTACCAACGGTGCGCTTTATTACGGTTCGTCCGTGACGTTTATAGTCCGCGACGAACTGCCCGGCAATCCGTGTCGCTACCCCCGGGAAATCTGCCTAGACGTACAGGGAATACTGCGGTATTGGCGGAGTATCGATATTTCTGTCATAGTAAACCGAGCACATCGCTGCCGTTGATAATAATAATTCGCGAGATGCGAGGAAAGCTGGAAAAAGAAGAGAGACGGCGTCCGGCGCTCTCTTCCATCGTAGCCGAGTATTGCGCAACGAGCTCCGTACGGCGGTTCTCGGAGCGCGTCCTGCCGACGAACCGGCGGCTGCTGGTTCCAGTTTTTCAATAATACCGGTTCTCGGCTTCGTCGACCACCTAACGAGAGCCGTTAGGTAACTCGAGGGAGATCGATCTCTCTCGCGTCCGCGCGCGCGCGAGAACCCGCGTCTCATGCGAGCCTGCGTACGCGCACGCACTCACCAAGTTTGTGCAGCGGATGAAAGGGATGCTCGAAGGGGGGGAGGTGCGAGGGGATCGAGAAGAGGAACAGGGTAAACGAGGGCACCATCGTACTGCGTACACCCAACTGCCGGGAGAGCCCCTCGAAACACCCTCCCCGAGTCCTCCCATGGCAACCGCGTCCCGCAACAATCTCTCCTCGTTCTCTCGCGTAACCCTCTCGTATCGAGGGTGGTGGTGGTGGCTTTTTCGCTCACCCCTTTCTGTAGCGCGCTGCGAATTGCAAAATGCAAGATTCGCCGTTCGCGCGCTGAATACCGATGTGCAGCGGCGACACCCTCGGCCGAAAGTCGCTTAAGACCCGGGGATTGCCGCCGTGAATTGGAAGTCATGGCGATAACTCCTCCGTTAAGACCCTCCGTGTGGCGAGGGCGAAAAACCTCCCGAGTGTTCTCCGCATTTTCCCGCGCGGCAGCGCCGCCTTTCTCTCTCTCTCTCTCTCTCTCGCGCGGTTCTCTTATCGTTTCGCGCTGTCCGCGGCTCCCGCGATAGCGGAGCGCGCCGAAAGGGAGAGAGAAGGAGCGGTAAAAGCTACGAAAATAAATAGAACGGGGTTTTTCCTTCTTTTGGAGGGCGGCGTGCGCGAATCGCGCGTCAAACCGCCGCGGGTTCCGTGCGAACGACCTCGCGGTTACGTCGGAACGATAAATCGGACAGGAGGAGCAGTGGAAATGGGAAAGTGGCGTGCCGCGATGCAGTAACAGTAACCCGACACGTGGCTTATACAGACGCTGAAACTAGGAGTGGCCCGACGCGCGCGCTCGTTTATGCCTCGTCTCGTCCGCTGTTAGATTCGCCTTCGCGCGCAACAAAAGCCGCCGCGTGTTCGTGAATTGATAACGTGATTTTCTGCGTTCGGGCTGCGTAATTAACGAACCGCGCCCACCGAGAATCGCGCTCGATTTCGCGATACGCCTTTTTTCTCTACGCTGGCGATTACAAATCGAAAATATGAATTTACATGGAAAATTCGTACCGGGTGTACTTTCTGCTTTTTTAGATAATTAAAAAATTACCGCGCCTTCGGCGCAAATGCATCTCCGCTTGCATTTGGTTACTTTTTTTTTTATGCGTGACGTTCGTCGCTTCGTGAATTTCTCCCTTCGGAGCGCCCGAGCCGGTTGAACGACCCGAATATTATCGTTTCGTCGAATGCTCGATACGCTGCGCGTTACATCGGCACGATAGTTTATTATTGCGGTCCGTCGCGCGAACCGCGGCTCTTTATCTTGCGACTTGGTAAATATTGTTCCTTGGGCGCTGCGTGACTAAGATAAATGCATCGAATGTCAGCGGCGTCAGCTCGCAGAAAATACCGAGTGGACGAAATGTCAAGTACGTGGCGCTCTGTTTCTCTCATCTCTCTCTTTTTCTTTTTTTTTTTGTGTAAATAAGGCGACAATAAAGGCGGTAATAGAGGTAAAATTAAAATAAAAAATAGAAAGGGATCGTGTTTTCTGGTTTACTATTCGTAACAACCAACAAAGCTCGGGAAATATCGCGTCATTTTTAATTTTTTATTTTAAACAAAGAAAAATTTTTTTTTTTTTTTTTTTTTAATAAGTCTTGGGAGTAAATTGATTTTATAAAACTCGGCATTTATGCTGAACGTTATCCATATAGAAATTTTGATTCCACGTTGCCCTGTAAATTTCACCGAACTTGACATCTTAAGTCGTCTCGAAAGCCTAGAATGTTTTGATAGCGTCGATTGTTGTGATCTTTCGGTCACCAAATGCGCGCGTTATTGATTGGCGAGCGACAACAGTCGACGATTGGCGGGAGGTGACTTTGTCCTTTTTGCCTATTTGTTTTAGTACTTTTGCGCGTAGCGTACCTTCCTGTGTCCGAGTCATTACGTTTCGAGCCGACGAGTGATACACATACCTCGACGCGGAGTATGTGTATTCGTACGCGTTAGCGTAATTTCCGTTGGATGATCAAAATATTTTGTCGTCGACTTTCGAAATATTTAATCTCATTCGCATCGCGTTTGTCAATTTGCGTTTCTCCGATCGAATCGTACCTACGCGATTGTCAGTAAATATCCGGAACGACCGAGCAGAAACAGGATG